TATATTTTGAGTGTTCAATATTTATTTTGAAATGTCCAGGAACTCCCGTAGAAAACCTGTTCAATGTTATTGTTGTGTTACGTTCATATTTTATGTGTAATCTACACTACATACTTGGGATGGGTGTTTCACTATAATATGATTGAATCATTGGAGCTTATTTGGGTCAGCAGTTGGTCTTTGCAGCATGGTTATTTTTGACACTGTTCCATAATTAACTCAGCTCATGATATTATAATTTTTTTTGGGCAGGTAGCCCCTGATATTATTTGAATATCACTGTTTTCAACTGTTGCTTAATGTGGTTCTTCATTAAAGTAACTATGGCACATATTCATTTGTCAATGTCTGGAGGTTTCAGTTTTGTTGCATTATTAAAGAGTTGAATTATGTCCGGGTTATTCTCCTGTCAGTCCTAAAAGTTTCTTGTAAACTATATGCTAGCTTTCCTGATCTATCTATTTTTACATTCCAATTTTCTAGTTTGTCACAATGTTTGACAATTTTCATCTTTTATCTGGGGAATGCATTTGTAGTTTGTATTCTAAATTGGTTTTTGGTAATGTTTGACTTTTTTCACTTTATTACCGGGGAATGTATTTGTGGCTTTTCTGTATTTTAAATTGGTGTTTGGCGCTGTCTTGTCTACATGTGTGATTCAACATTGATCATGTAGTTTCTTATAGTAAGCATGTTGCTAAACTGGTTTAATATTCTATTTGATGCAGTCAGAGAATATTATGCTTGCAGATAAGCAAAAGATAGAAAGGGAACAAAATGCGCAGCTCAGAAATCAAGTAGCTCAACTGTTACAGTTGGAGCAAGATCAAAAAGTGCAGATAGAACAACGAGATTCTACGATTCAGGCCTTGCAGGTTGGTCATGTGTCTGTTTAGTCTTCCTCATTTATATTTTGAGTGTTCAATATTTATTTTGAAATGTCCAGGAACTCCCGTAGAAAACCTGTTCAATGTTATTGTTGTGTTACATTCATATTTTATGTGTAATCTACACTACATACTTGGGATGGGTGTTTCACTATAATATGATTGAATCATTTGGAGCTTATTTGGGTCAGCAGTTGGTCTTTGCAGCATGGTTATTTTTGACACTGTTCCATAATTAACTCAGCTCATGATATTATAATTTTTTTTGGGCAGGTAGCCCCTGATATTATTTGAATATCACTGTTTTCAACTGTTGCTTAATGTGGTTCTTCATTAAAGTAACTATGGCACATATTCATTTGTCAATGTCTGGAGGTTTCAGTTTTGTTGCATTGTTAAAGAGTTGAATTATGATGGACGTATGCTAATGTATGAAAGTTTCATATTTATGTTTCCTAATCAAAAATTTACTTTGCAATATTGTTGCACCATATGGTGTTCTCTAACTTTAATTGTCTCATTCAGGCCAAAATGAAAAGCATTGAATCCAGACTCAGTGAAGCACTCCATTCCAGTGAAGATCGGTCAGCATTAGGCTCAGATCTATCAAATGCCAAGGCAATTGGGGATGGCATGGATTCTCCCCCAGTTACTAAGAAATTGGAAGAGGAGCTTAAAAAACGTGATGCACTAATAGAGGTGTGCTATTCTACCATAAACGTGATGCATTAATGATGATGAATCATTATTACATGACCTCATATTTGTATCCTTGAACATCTTATTGATGCTATTTGTAGTCTGAATCAATATTCATTTCCCATGCAAACTAGAAGTTCACGAGCCTAAGTGGAGACTTGAACCTTTCTAGACATTAAATCCTGACATTTAGAATTAAACTCACAATGGCAATCCATTAAATCTGTAAAAATAAGAAAGCTATGGCAATCCAAAATGACCTCGCTAACAAATCTGCTAATGTCATGAAGAGTGCCACATGAATAGTAATCATGCTACATAATCGTTAACAGTGCCCAGTAGTCTGAAGACCATTAGACTGCAAAAACTAGAATGAAGTACCAAAGGCTCCTGTTTTAGTCTCCTGGGGACCAAAAAGTTGTGTTATGAGGAGTCTCTTCCACAATGACTTAGTATCCTCTACCAAGTCCTTGTTTGTGTGTGCCAGCATGAAAAGATCATCTATTTAAATCTATATTTCAAATCTCAATCGATATTCTCCTTTATATATAGTTATATTTCGTTCTAAAAGGATGACTAATACTCTCTCTCTCTCTCTCTCAACAGAGGTTACATGAAGAAAATGAGAAGTTATTTGATAGATTAACAGAGAAAGCATCTTTGGCTGGATCACCAAAGGTAATTTCTATTTATCTCATTTTAGATGTGGTTGTGTGCTTTCATGCTATAGATGTATCTTTGTGCAGTTGATTATTTTTTAAGCATTTCAAGTATCTGCTACAGTCTTTTGGTTTTATTCATTTTCTTGTGGCATCTTTTGTGCTTATTGTTGCATTCATTGCTTTTCTTGATTCAGTAATTCATGGAAATCTGAGGAATGCAGTTAGATGTAATTCTGGGTGTTTATTGTAATAAAACACTTAAAGATTCTGGGCTGAAAGTTTTTTCAGTTAGCAATCTGACTCTATGGTAGCTGTTTCATTTATTCGTATGATATTGATGGTTCTGTTTTGTGATGCCATTTGGACCGACTGAAAAAAGTTTAGGAGAAATTCAAAATTCTACGAAAAAGTTAAGAGTTTGCAGAAATCTGTTGTCCTATTCGAATCCGCTTTTGGTTTTATTCATTTTCTTGTGGCATCTTTTGTGCTTATTGTTGCATTCATTGCTTTTCTTGATTCAGTAATTCATGGAAATCTGAGGAATGCAGTTAGATGTAATTCTGGGTGTTTATTGTAATAAAACACTTGAAGATTCTGGGCTGAAAGTTTTTTCAGTTAGCAATCTGACTCTATGGTAGCTGTTTCATTTATTTGTATGATATTGATGGTTCTGTTTTGTGATGCCATTTGGACCGACTGAAAAAAGTTTAGGAGAAATTCAAAATTCTACGAAAAAGTTAAGAGTTTGCAGAAAGCTGTTGTCCTATTCGAATCCATTGTTAGATAATAAGCTGCTTCCTTATTTGATTTCATGTGATCATGTAAACTATGTTCACAATTTTTTGTCTCATTTATGAAATTTAAGCAATTCTACTTCAGTGATTTGTTTAGGGTATTGTTTCATACTTCTAATATGTGTTTGTGTGTGTGTGTGTTGTATATTTCAGCTGTCAAGTCCATTATCCAAGGGGCCGCTAAATGTGCAGTCTCGGGACCTTGTGAGGTAAGACTTTTGGCTACACTTTGTGGTTAATGTAATTTTTGTCTTATCTTTCTCTATTCAAAAGCCCTTATTTCCTAAAAGAAAATTTTGCTTATTAAACTTTATTTTTTAATACCATAAAGCAGGATTGATAGTAGGGGGCATTCGATGGATGTTGTTCCTTCATCACCGGCACTTGCTGCAGACAAGACTGAGGGTACAGTTGCTTTAGTGAAATCAGGTTCGGATAAAGTCAAAACAACCCCTGCAGGAGAATATCTTACATCTGCCTTGAATGACTTTGATCCTGAACAACATGACAGCCTTGCTGCCATTTCAGATGGAGCAAATAAGCTTTTGATGCTGGTACGCTTGGTTATTTGATTTTTCTTTTCATTTGTGTTTGTAATCATACTGACATAATATGATTTATGTGGATATAATATGGTGTTGTCATGCATTTCCTATTTTAAAGTGAGTATTAAAGCTTCAGTTTCAACATTTCACCTTTAGTTGATGTTGAAAATGTCATACTAACTAAGGATTTTTTTCTTGTTAAATTTTTTGGGGGTGGTGGTGAGCTTTACATAGAGGAGCTTGTTAAATTATTGATTCATAAGTTTTTATAATAAAAAAGATTCTTGTAAATCATTCTATATATTATCTGATCTCTCATCGCCCTTCTCACTTTCCTCTCCTTGTTCTTTCTATTTCTTTAACTGAAAACAAAAACATTACTGCACAATACCTAGGATCATAAAAATTAAACAACTTTTTTTTTGGCTTGACTTAGCTTGTATGGTGGATCATGATGTCAGAATGGTAATACTTTATTAGTCTTTCAGGTTTCATTTGAGCACATAATCTTTCTTTTGGTCGGAACATGTTAATGGTTGATAATTATTCTGCAGCTAAAGCTAAGATGTGATGATATGTGTTCACTTGTCTAGTATGGATTTTCTGCTATTTGGCTTAAAGTATTTTACCTATTGGTCTTTCTATATACAGAAGTTTCAACAGTTTGTCAATAACAGGAACTTGTACACCTACGCAAATCCTGAGTAATTTGTATCTTAGAAGTAGAAATTCCAAAAGTAACTGTATTTACAAATGACAGGTTCTGGCTGCAGTAATCAAAGCAGGGGCTTCTAGGGAGCATGAAATACTTGCTGAAATAAGAGATGCTGTTTTCTCCTTTGTTCGTAAAATGGAACCACAGAGGGTAATGGACACCATGCTTGTATCCCGTGTTAGAATTTTGTATATTAGATCTTTGCTTGCTAGATCGCCGGAGCTGCAGTCCATCAAGGTAATGAAAGTTACAAAACAATAGAGACCTTACCATTCTATTTGTATGCTCCCTCTTTTTCCTGGGGGGTTGGGGTCAAGAAAATATGATGTCAAATGCATATTATTTAGTGCTGTTTCCGTCTTATTATTTATAGGTTTCTCCCGTTGAGAATTTTCTGGAGAAGGCTAATACTGGACGTAGTAGAAGTTCCAGCCGAGGTAGCAGCCCTGGAAGATCTCCCGTGCGCTATGTTGATGAGCATATCCAAGGCTTCAGAGTGAATCTAAAGCCAGAAAAGAAGTCCAAGTTTTCATCAGTTGTATCAAAGATACGCGGTCTTGATCAGGTAGCTGCCATCTTTATGCTCTCTGTGTCTCCCTTGCTCCTGTCTGTTGATATAAACAAGAAAGAAAGGATAAATAGAAAAGAGAATCCCAATACACATGCA